AGAAAACCTTTTGGGGAGAAGGGGTGGAGGGGTATGGGAGCACTCCATAATAACTGGAATCCCATGAGTGTGTATGCCAAGTCTCATCAGGCTATTTTTAAATTTATTATTTTCTTGGTCACAATTTTTCTCTTGAACACAATTTTTCTTTGACTTTTTATCCTCAAAGTATAAAAAGTATGAGATATAAACAAGCTCTTGCATTGCACACTTAGAAGTGCACAATTCAATCATTATAGTGCTATGTACACACTGATAAATCCCATCAAATCTTGGATAATTCATTAATATACAATGTACCAGGGCACAGAAGAACTAAAATCCACTTCTTTTGTCACACATAAGATTCAATTATTCAATCTAAATAAAACACAATCATTTTCATTCTCTTCTACATCTGCATGTTGACACATTTATTAAAATATATCATATAATCATGTTTGGCCTTACTATTCAAAGTCAAGTTTAAAACCTCAAAACCAGCCATCCAGACAAAATGTAATCAGAAAGATTACCTCTTTTCCACCTCCTTAACCCCAATAACTATGAAGTCATTTTTATGACATGACTCCAAACACTGGATTGTGATGGCAAATTTTAGGTCCAATTTCTTCATAATCATTTTTAGTGTGGCATGCTTGGTAGAACTCAGGTGTAGAAGCCAGCACTGATCCTCCAAGCCAAGCTGCATATCACTGCACGTGGTGTGTAATGACTTGTACATCAATAGATTTTGGCTTCACTCTTCTCCCACTAAATTTCTTACTTAATCTCAGCCAGGAATCTAGAGTTCTTTTCAAATCTCTTTGTAAGTGATATCCAAAGTCACTGAACATGGTTGAACCTACAAAGAGGACCATATTCTTGTAGACAGGACGTCTGACATCAATAGGACAATTCTGAATTACTTCATTTATAACTTCTGAGATAGGTTATGTAAAGTCTGGATTAGCAAACTCTGGATGAAAAAAGGTTTCAGGTCCTCAGAATCTCTCAGAAACACCACCAATGGAAAAGTCTTTCTTTGAGACAGCATGGATTCTGGTATACTGTTTAATCCATTTTGACCCATCTGTGTCATACTTGTTAAATTCTTATACTAAATCTGGGTAGACATAACTATAGTGCTCCTTTATTGGCTTAGCAGCTTCCAGGGATTGTTTTTGAGGGATTCTTCTCAGTCTCTCAGCAGTTACGGAATAAAATATGTTATATCTCATCCTGGGACTGCAATGTATTTAATACAGCTGCCAGTCAAATACCCTTCAGCCACAGGAATGACGTGAGTGACACCATCTCCACTGTCTATTACTTTACCAGTCAATGTCTGTCGTCCTACTTGTCTGGAGGTCCAAGATGTAGCTAAGGCAAGAACAGCCTGCACAGCAATGTAGAAGCCTGGAATATTGAAGGACTCAAGCATTACTTCAGCAGTATATTCCCTGTTTCCTGCAGTATTCAGTCAAGGTTCAGACAAAATAAAATAATGGCCTTCAGTTTCTGCCCTTAAATATTTAAGATCACTTGCTCCATAAATCTTTCCGTCAAGTCCCCAACTTCAGCTATACCATGTGGATTGGCCACTTTATCGCATATGTAGGTTTTTTCTACTGCTTCATCATCAATGAAGGAGTCTTGGTCATCAACACATTTCATCACCCTCCTTTGAGCTTGATCCCTCACTTTTGCTGACTCATTTGTAGCAATACAGGAAAGGGTATTAAACTGTGGTTCTGTATTTCCAGCATATCCAATTTTGTATTTCCCATGCCACAAGCCACCACACAGGCTGGCAGCCCTCCTGCCATCTCCTTCTTCTCCGGCTGCTGCTGCTGCCACCGTCTGTTCCATACTGGTAGGGGCCAGAAATTGGCAGTGGGAGACAGGAGGTATCTGACTATACACAGCCAGGCCACTTTCACCATTCGGTAGGTAGCCAGGAAGCCCAAGCAGAAGAAAGAAAGCAGCAGGCTCAGTCAGCAGCCATCACTTCCACATCCAGGCAGGCAGGCAGTCCTCTTTTTTGGATACCTACATCCCAAATATTTTTTCCCTGAATGCAGCTACATTTTTAGTCTCTTAATTCATTTTGATAAAGAGAAGTTCTTAAATTTAGTGGAGTCCAATTTATCAATCTTTTCCTTTATGGTTATTGCTTTTATATCCTGTTTAAAAAAAATCTTTGCCCACCTCAAGGTCATGAATGCATCCTCCTAGTTTTTTATTTCCTAGAAGGTGCTTTACCTTTCATATTTAGGTTTATGATCCAACCGAAATTAAAGTTTGTATGTGATGCAAGGTAGGAGATAAGGGTCATTGTTTTGCCCACGTAGGCAGCAAATTGCTCCTACCACTTACTGAAAAGATCGCAGTTTCCTCTACTGAATCACAGCAGTGGCCCTTGCTATAGTTAGCCCACCTGTGAGTCTGTTTCTGGTTTGCAGTAATGTTTGAGCTGAAATATGAATGAAGTAAGTGAAGGGGGCAGCCATGGTGCTAAGGGAGACAGAATATTACAGGGCCCAGACTAGGATGAGGTCTTTGCCTTGAGCACATATTTAAGAGGGTGCCAAAAACCTCAGTAAATAAGGTAAAGAATATTTTAATGCAATATTAAAACATCAGAATAAATGCAGAAAATCCATAATAAACTATATATCAAGATTGTACATAAAGGCAGGATGGGTATTACTGACTTTTCCTTTTGTCTTGGGGGTCCCATATGGCTTGACAAGGCACTGATGCATAGAGTGCCAAAGGCGGGATCAGGGAGGCAGCCAGAAGGAGTGCCGAATCAGCTCTGCCAGAAGTAAGGAGGCGGGCTTCAGAGAACGCTGCCCAGAGGAGGTGATGTTTGTCCCAGTCTCAAAAAAAGAATAGGTGCTTTTCAGGTAGTGTCTGGGGTAGGAGAGCATCCCAGGCCGAATACACTGTGAGCTCTGACAACAGTGGGGAGGGAGAGATGGTGAGAGAAGGGGCTGGAAAGATGGGCAGAAACCAGATGAAGGGCCTGTCATTCCAGCCTAAGAAGTATGAGCTTTGTTTTGAAGGTGAAGGGAAGCCATGGATGCTTTTGGTAGTGGGGTTAGTACATGTGGTGTTTAGGGAGTGGTTAACCTCAGTAGGCTTCTTCCGCCTGCCTTATCCCTGTCTGCTTGAGAAGTGGAACGGGAAGTACTGTCAGAGTGCAACTTCCAGGAAGGGGTGAGAGCTCCAGGGGAGGGAGCCCAGAGCCAAGGACCACGAGGCTCCTGCAGCAGCCTTTATTTTAGTTCCCATGGGGACCTTATCTGGGTCACTGGCTCCTGTAGCTCTTGGTTTTCCAGTTGGATACGGAACTTCTCTTTCTTCATCCTCTTGGCAGGTGGCCAGACACTTCCATGCTCTCTCTAATTCAATACCACCTTCACTGAGAGGCAGTTTCCCTCACCCTTCGTGTCCTCTCCCTGCATACCTGATGCCTTGGCAGCCATAGTCTTCATGGAATTTAGGGCTGAAAGGTGGTTTGTTCACAGGCCATCTAGGGTAGTGGTTCTCAACTCTGCCTGTGCACTGGAATCAGCTGGAAAACTTTAAAAGTACTGATGCCTAGGTCTCACCCCCAGAGACTCTGATGTCTAAGGGATCTGGGCTGCAGCCTGGACATCTGGGGATTTCAAAGCTCCCCAGGAGATTCTAATGTGCAGCCAAGGTCGAGGACCTCTGATCCAGTGTTTCCCAAACATCACCGATGATGCCAACCCCCTAAGATACTTGTTAAACATATCCATTTTTGGACTCCACATCAGAAGGGCGAGGGACAGGCCTTTTTCTAACTGGACTTAGGAATAGAGTTCACGGTGTCTGGATAACTCATTTTTCCTTTTCTTCCTGTTCCTCCTCCTCCTCCTTCTCCTCTTACCCCTAGCCATGAGCCTCTGAACAAGCCGTGTGTGTGTGTGTGTGTGTGTGTGTGTGTGTGTGTGTGTGTTGCATGCTATGGGTGGAGGAGATACGGCTGGGGACCCCTCACAAAACAGTTTACCCTGGATTCCATGCTGGCAAGTTTATTGCACAAGAGGCAGATACTCAAAGCTTCAACAAATGTTAGTGTAGATGAAGCTTCAGCCCTGGGGGACACTGTCCCCTCCCCCTTTTTCAGCAGCTGAAACCACACCCCCACCCCATGACCTGAGCCAAAACAAAGGAGAAGATGGTTGAGATAGGGGTTTGCCCCCTCCCACAATCTAGCTTTTTCCTTCCTGCCTTGGAAAAGACAGTATTGGACAGATAAGCAAGAGATAGGGTGTGGGGGGTGGGTTGGGAATTAGGTATGAGGATGATGGAAGAGAAGGGGGCCAGGCTCAAGGTGATAGGTGGGTACTGAGATGTGGCCACATAGGGAGACATCAGAGACACAAAGCCAGAGGCACACATACCAGTGACTGATGCTGTAACACATCCTTTTAATATCCTCTGCCACAGAGAACTGCCAAGGATCAACTTGAAGGCTAGCCATAGGACTATTTCAAAAAGTTTTTGAGTAAATGAATATGTGGAGCTCCAGGTTTGGAAGGATATACTTCAGGGGCAGCTGTTTAGAGGCGGGCTGGTTGAGCTGACACCCCACTCTTTCAGAAGAGCTGGTCTGCTTTTTGTTTCGGATATTTTTTTGTTAACTTTCAGTTGAACATAGAATTTTTATTATTTTCTTTAGGTATAGAAACCACAGATGTGTTCCAATGTTTTCATGTTACAGATGAAAGGAAACTGAGGCTCAGAAGATAGAAGAGACTTGCCTTGGTCTCACACAGTCAGTGACAGAACAGGATCTGAGGCATTTCTGTCTGAGGCCTAGAATTCAGGCTTCCTGAAACTGTCTGGGCATCATTTTCACCAGATCGCCCTCCCTCACCCCAAACCTCTGCTTCTCCATTTTCAGTCCACTTAGATGGCCTGGAGGGGTGGGAAGAAAAAAGGAGGGAGGGAAGGGAAGGAGGGATGGAGAAGAAAAAAAGGAAAGAAGGAGAGAGGAAGAGAAAAGATGAAAGAGTTCACTGCTGTGTAGACCAATAGGCCTTTTGCATGTCCTGAAGAAGGGGGAATTTGGAGGCCTGAGGGTCAGTATTAGAGAACCAGGATTTCCTCGAAGACCAGCACTTCTTTGAGAGAAACTTGGCTGGACTAGAGAGTGAAGCAAGTCAAGAGTGAGGAAAAAAAAATAATCAAACTTGTCCTGAAGCTCCCCAGGCTGAACTCCATTAGGATTCAGGGTGCTAGGAAATGCCCCTCTTGTGATGTGTTGCAGTCAAGTTCTGACTCTGGCTATAGTATTCACAGGGCATCTGTGGACAAATTGCTAAGCTTCCAGAGCCTCAGCTGTCAAGTGGAGCTGCCTAGCTGTTCCCTGCTCCCTCCCAGAGCTATTGTGAAGCTGACAGAAGATGCAGATGAGGAAAACCCTTTTGATTCTCAAACATTTCTTAGGGTGCTATGAAATGCACAGCTTCCCAGGCCTGTGCCTAGAGCTTCTGAAATGGAACCCAGAAGTCAGTATGTTTAACAGGTAACTCAGGGGATCCGTATCATCAGCAATGTTTGGAAAATGCTGGATCAAAGCATTTTGATTAGAGTTACCTGTTGAGCTGTGAAATACCTAGAAGCCCAGGCCACAGCCCAGACCAATGACACCAGAGTTTCTGCGGGTGGGACCCAGATATCAGTATTTTTAAAGTTTTCCAGGTGATTCCAGTGCATAGGCAGAGTTGGGAGCCACTACCCTAGATGGTCTGTGAACAAACCCTCTTTCAGCCCTAAATTCCATGGCATGAGGATTGAGGGTGCTAAGCCTATGATCGGGCAGGAAAGAACCCTGGGGAAGGGAGAGGATCTGGCCTCTTGTTGAAGTGCAGGCTTGAAGTCGAGAGGTCCTCAGTCTTATCTCCCCACTTGCTAGCACTGTGAGCTTGGGGAGGTCACTTCCCTTTTCCAGAACCGTGGAGCCTTGAGCCCTCAGATTGTTTGTGGGTGAAGGGAAGGAAATTGCCCTATAGAACTCCAAAATTATTATGAGAAACACTTGAGATAAGGTTTAGCGAAGTCCTTTACAAAAGTCCAAGAGAAATACTCAGACGTTACTTAGACCAAAGAAAGGAAGGAAACAGTCGGGGAGAAAAAAGAGGAAAGAAAGCAAGAGCTCATTGCTCTGTGTGGGCCAATGAGCCATTTGTGTGCCCTGGAAGATGGAGAATTTGGGGGCTTTGTGGGAAGGGAGTATTAGAGAAGCAGGGTTTCCTTGAAGATCAGTTTCTAAGGTTCTTGGACCAACCATAAGGGCTTATCATCTTTATCAGGATGCAATTAATTATCTCCATTGTTAATAATTCCTCTAACATGCGGGGAGGCAGCAGGCAGTCTTTTAGATCAATGCATCTAATTTGCCTTCCTAACTCCAGGAAGGAGTGAGACACAAACAGAATACAAAAAATAATCATGATAATGTTCCTTTAAGTTTGTTTTTGGGCTTTGCGTAAGGTAAGGGGAGATACTATTTGTGGCTAATGGAAAAGAGGAAAGACACCCCTTCTGCATCCAGCTAGCCCCCCAAAATCCTCACGACAACACTGCCAGATATATTGTTATCATCTCCATCTTGCAGATAAGGCAACTGAGACTCAGAGAGGTAAAGGGCTTTATCTGAGATCACATAGTTAAAACGTGAGCAGCACAGAAAATCAGACCAAGATCAATGAGTTTCTAAACCATAAAAACAAATCATAGGAATCTCTTCAACAAATGGTGCCAGGAAAACTGGATAACCACATGCAAAAAATAAACTTGGACTCCTACCTCACTGCAGATGCAAATATTAACTCAGAATGGCTCAAC